TTGCACCATCCAAACCTGGATGGCATGGCTTGTTGGAAAGAGAAATAATCACCAACTAACCTACAGGCTGTTATTGGGTTATTTTAGGGTTGTTTTCCCTTACAGCAAGCCATGCTGCCTAAATTGGGATGACACAACCAGTTGCTCTTAGGTAGGTGCTTAGGCAGCATTTAAATCACTGTGTAAGCTTGGTCAATATTTTTAAATAACCACAGCTTCACAGAAAAAGCTTTTTCTTATTGGGCAGTCTAAAGTATAATTTTTAAAAACTTAAAGAACAAACTCAAGAATATATTAATTGATCGATAGGAGTCATGAAAGCTGTTATTGTTCCATGAAATGATTCCAAGTTTTGCAAGCAGACATCTTTACAATTCTGGCCACATCATGTGTGAGGAAATAATAAACAGAGGGAGGCAAACAGAGAGATAAAATATAATGAAATTCATTTTCTGAAAGCACTGCAGGGTTGTGTGACAGAAACAACAGGAAGAGATTGATCAGACAATTTATGACACAATCCTTTGCTTATGCTGAAAATATTTTCCCATTTAAAGGGCAAGCATTGGACTATATTCTCAGAAATGGTGTTCAAAAAAGATATTTTCATGTAAGTGACAGTGGACAGCATCCGGCACACAGTGGCAGCTTCCACTGACTTACATGCCCATGGGGTGACCTCAGGATATCCTCCGAGACCTGGTTGGGAGAGAAGGGAGGATACCCCCCACCTGGGTACTCGGTGCAGCATCAACATGACCTTGAGGGCCAGGGATGGGGGAGTGGCCATGTTCCATAAGGATTCTATTCCCTTCTCTAGATGGTGTTCTCTCTAGCGCAGGTCTTGAGTGTCTGTACCTCGCACTGGGCAATTGAGACAGATGAAGGATTCTGCTGGTGTACTGCCCAGCCTGCTGTCCAGAAGACTCCCTGCCTGAGTTAGCAGAGGCAACCTCAGACTCGGTGTTGAGGACCCCCAGGATGTTGGTTCTGAGGGATCTCAACTTCCAAGTCAAGGCTGCCTTGTCTGGGGGAGGCTCTGGACTTCATGTCAGCCATGGCAACCATGTGGCTATCTCAACTTGTCATCAGCCCAATGCACATAAGAGGACACACCCTAGATCTGGTTTTCTTGACCAGGCAGGAAGATGATGATCTGGTAGTGGGGGGAGGGGGTTGACATCAACCACTTTGCCATGGCCAGATCACTTCCTTTTGAGGTTTGGACTTTTGACCCCCTTCCCCCTCTTCAAGGGTGGGGAACCCATTAAGATGTCCCATCCCCAGAGGCTAATGGATCTTGCTGGCTTCCAGAGTGCTTTGGGGGATTTTCCTACTGGCATGGTAAGCACTCCTGTCAAAGTCCAGGTCACTCTGGGGAATACTGAGATGGGCAAGGTGACTGACACAATCACCCCTCCTGTAGACCCCTTTTAACTTGATATATGCCAGAGCTGAGGACAATGAAACAAGAGGTCAGGTGGTGGATAGCTCACAATGAGCGCAACTGAACATGAGTTAGTGCTAGCAAGCCTATTCTATGGCAGTAAAGGCGGCAAAGAGATATTTTATTGCATTGCATCTTCATTGTGTCATCCAATGGAGCTTTTTCAGTGGTTCAGACCCTTGTGTGATCTGGCCCAAAAAGAGACTCCATTGAAACCTTGGAAACACACTGTGAAAAATTTTCCTGACTTTTTTAAAGATAAAATCACTCATATTCACTGTGAATTGGACACCACGGTTATCCCAGTTCAACTGAGCACCATCTGGTCCTATTTGGCTGGATGCGTTGGCTATTGTAGCCAGTAGATTTGGACAAGGTGCTTGGTCAAGTTCAACCCATGTCCTGCTTGCTCAATCCTTGCCCACTTGGCTAATAGTAAAATCTGAGGGGATGTTGTAAACACCTCAAGAAAGGAAGTGCTGCCAGCTCCTGTTAAGGCAACTGTGATTACACCACTCCTGAAAAAGCCTAACTTGGATGCAAGTGATGTAAGTATAGACCAGGGGTTGGCAACCTTTAACACTCAAAGAACCATTTGGATCTGTTTCCCACAGAAAACACCGGGAGCCACTAAATTCTTTTGACATCTAAAATGAAAATAACGCTGCATATATCATTTTTTACCTTTATGCCATATATAAAAAAACTATAGTGTGTTGCATCTCCATCCAGATATTTTTCAGCAAAGGCTGTGTGTTTATTCTGGAAATGTCTTGCAACATTCAACTTTTTGTTGTTTGCCAATTGCTCACCACATATTAAGCATACTGGTAAACCAGTCTTGTCAGCAGTGAAAGCAAATGAATCTGCCCACGTGCCATTAAACGTTCTGTTTTCTTCTGAAACTTTTCTTGGATTTATCCATGGTCGGTCTACCAGGGGTCAAAAAGCTCAATAAATCACATGCCAACAGGTGTTGCACATTGGCAGTTGTGATGCCTATTTTGAGCGACAGGGAGCCGCAGCAGAGGAACAGCCACATGCAGCTCCGAAGCCATGGATTGCTGACCCCTGGTATAGACCAAGAGCCAACATTCCCTTCCTGAGTAAGGTGATTGAGTAGATTGTGGCCAGGAAGCTCCAAGCACTCTTGGAGGAAGCAGATTATTGGGATCCATTTCAATAAGGCATCAGATCCAGTTTTGGAATGGAAACTGCCTTGGTTGCCCTGTGGGATGACCTTCGCTGGGAGAGGGAGGAGGAGGGTGCAGCCTGGACCTCTCAGCAGCTTTTGATATCATCAACCATGGTATCCTTCTGGGGAGGCTAGCTGCACTGGCAGCTGGGGGCACTACTTTGTGGTGGCTCTGCTTCTTCCTGGCGAACTGTCTCCAGATGGTGGTGCTGGGGGATTGCTGGATTTGAGAAAGTGCTGTTTGAGTCATAGTTATAGTAGAAAATGGTGCAGGCAGCATCTGACAACACCCACAATCTCTTGTACAAACTCAATTGGTAACTGAGTAGCAGAGAGGGCAAAATCTGGATCTTGCTCATTGTTTTTGGGTCACCAAAAAGTACCACAGGACTATACTTGAAACACTTCCTTTCATACATTCTGTAAACTTCATTTCAACATTAAAAAGCCCAATTCCCCTAATACCTCTTGTGCAGTAGCTGTTCCTTTCACTAAAAGTGTGACTGTTGGTACCATATATGGAAATGGTTGTATGCAAGCCAGTGACATGCATACAAATTCATTTCTTGCAAAACATTCCAAGAAAGAATTTTCAAATACTTGCAGTGGTATACACAGGCCTATGTGGTATGCATGATGGTATCATGATGGTATCATGCATACCATCAACCTGAACAGAACCACCCCAGCACCTGTGGTCATCATGTGCAAAACTGTTGTGAGTTTGCATAAATGCTAACTGTTTAAGCCTTAATTGCTGGAAAAGAAAGGTTCACAGAGAGAAAGAGGTTTTGTAGGGAACTTTTACTAATAAGTAATCTGAGTGCACCAAGCTTTTAATGATGTTTACTTAAAAAATCTAACAAAGTTTTGTAGCCTAAATTTTGAATGACATAGCATGTAACATTCAGGAGTATAAGAGAAGCACAAAGACATTTCCAGTCTAAAGTATATTATAAAAGTTGTCAATATGGAAAAAATATCAAGCATTCATTTTTTTCAGGTAGTAACTGAAGTCCAAACATACAATCAAACATGAAATACATTTTTTCTCTTCAATTATTGTGATTACTGAAATGTGGATGTGTGCCTAAAACTGTTGGTGCTGAAGCTTACAAACAGTTTATGTTTTGTGACAAAACTGATTAAAAATAAACAAACAAACATACTTTTTCTTAGCAGGAGCCTACCTTCCAAGTCCTAACTGCCAGTCTCTTTCATTTGCAACAAATCCACCCATAACCTGATCCTTGCACAACTTCACTGGAATATTTGGAAATCACCTATTTAAACGAAATGACTAAAAAGAAGTCCTCCCATGCAAACTCAATTTACAAGTTATGAATAAAAATGCACAACTCCAATTCATTTCAAGTGGACAGATACAGACCAATTTCCTTAACAGATTGCGCACCTGGTCAGATTTTTTTTCAACAAATAAAACCTGAATGGATATTGGCAATGTACGCATGAATATTGCACTCATTTGCATGAAAAAACTGAAACATTAACACTGTCTGGCCAGAGTAATTCCTGATTAACCAAGCCATTATTAACAGCTCCCTGGTAAGAGGATGCTTGCTAAAGAACTGTAAAATAGCTCCCAGAAGCCTTTGGATTAAAACACTGCTCCAAAAGAATCTTTCCAAACAAACTGAATGGACAATAATATAGTAAATACAGTTCAGTGCAAGTACGTGAAGAGTGATGCATATTAGGACAGAAATCCTGGCTTTAGATATGTACTGAAGAGGTATAAATTGGTAGTAATTAACCAGGAGAGTGATCATATGGCAGATAGCTCAATGACATGTGTGAGCAGTTAAGAAGTCAAATTCTATGGTAGATTATTAAGAATGATTCCTATATAAAACTGTCCATATTGTCATGTTGCTAAGACAAATCTCTTGCTAATTGCATTTGGAATACTGTGTACAGTTTGGATCACCATACTACAAAAAAGATATTGTAGAGGTTACATGTACAAAAAGGCAACAAAATGATGAGGCTGGTGTATTTTCCCTGTGAGAAGCTAGACACGACATTTGTAGGGCAGAAGAGAGTATGAGAGAGAATATAAAATTACATGGGATATAGAGAAAGTGGGCAGAGTTTGGTTGTTTAATTTTATAATACTAGATTTGGGTCAATTAAAATGATGGACAAGAGATTTAGAACAAACAAAAGGGATCACACAATGAATGTATAGAATTAGGACTGCGTGGCTTTAAAGAGAGCCAGTGTGGTGTAGTGGTCAAGAGACTGGGACTGGGACTCAGGCGACCTGGGTTCTAGTCCCCACTCAGCCATGGAGCCAACTGGGTGACTCTGGGCCAGTCACAGACTCTCAGCCCAACCTACCTCACAGGGTTGTTGTTGTGGGGATAAGATGGAGGAGGAGATGTAAGCTGCCTTGAGCCCTTTGTAGGAAAAAGGCAGGATATAAATTGAAAAAAAAAAAAAAAAGAGGCATTAAGCAAATTCATTTAGAAAAAGCCTGTGGGTTTTGCAACCAGTATGCTTTTTTTAGCACTGGCTGGTACTTCCCAGCTATTCCCTTTTGTTTGTGGGCTTCCCAGAGGCATGGAGTTGGCCAGTGTAGCCAATGCTTTCAGCCTATATATTTGTAGTTTTGTTCTATCCTCACATTTTCTTACTTTTGTACCATTCCACTGACACAGGAAAATGTTTCTATTGTAAAAAGTAGCAGGATATTAAACAACCACCTATCTTCTATGGCTAATGCACTGACCTAAAGCAAACAAAAATGATGTGCAGACTCCAACATAATTCTACTATGCTGCTGAACTAAATTACTCCCTAGACTGTTCTGTAAAACAGTGCATCATAATTCAAATTTGTAAGATCAAGCAGTTCTTCAATTTTCACTTTCTAGTGTGAGGGAAAGAATATCCCATCCTCTTGTAGCTTCCAGTAAATGCTTCTGTCCATGACTTATCCATTCTTCTTGGTCTATATATGTCCTGCCACAAAACCAACACTTGAAAGTGAGTTTTGATGCTTCTGAAGGTGAAGAATTCACTACTTTATAGCTATTTTTATGGATCTTCTTTAGTTTCATTTTTAATGTGCTTTGTTTCTTTATTTCACTTGCTGTATCAAAATTCTGAAACATGAGCTTTTTATGTCGTCTCTCACCAAGACAATTAATAGTTCTTTCTGACAAAACAGCTTTCAGAACATTGCTTTTATACTTATTAATAACTTTCATTACATTAATTATTTCTGGTGAATCAACATCAGGGTGGTTCAGGACAACTACCGGCTGATTGCGATGAGGGCATTTTATCAGCTGATCACTTTTAAATGGTATAATCCTAAGGCGTCTCATTAAATCAGGAACTATCTTAAGGAAGCAATCCTCCGGAGTTCTTGGCCTCTTCTTGTACAAGTTCTCCCTGGGATATAATTGCCTGCTTTTGTGTTGAGGCTCTTCACCCTTAATGTCTCTTTTGTTTGGCATGTTTAGTTCATTGCATTTTGGGTGTGGTAATACTCTATTTTGCTGACTGTTACTCTTCACAACAGACTGTCTTTTGGTTGCGTTTCTACTTGATACTCTCTGTTTTCTAGAAGCTTCATTAGTTTCATTCCCACTTAGCAGAGAAAGGTCTTTAGCAGGTCTCTCAGAAATACAGCAAGGAACTGGTCTTGGGAGAAAAGTCTGATTGCAATACATAGATGAATATGGGAACATTCCATTCCCATTTTCTTTTTCAGTTGAACCCTCCGTACTAGTGGAATTTAACACCTTCAGTACAGTGCCTTGAGGAATGAACACTGGAGAAGCAACACACATTTTGTTAGCCACTCTGGCTTTCATTACAGCATTTCTAAGTGTTTCTACTGGTTGTTCTTGCTCTTTCTTATTGGAGAATTGATTAGAAGAGGAGGCCTCATTTGTTCTTTGAGGACACAGGATAATCTCTTGTTGCACTTCAGTAGTCAAGTCATTTCCCTCATTCTTTTCTTCTGAAGATGAGAGCACCTTGTCTTTTGTATCCTGACTCTTGTGCTGCCTTAATGAAGCAGCTAATTGTGATTTCATGTTTGATTCAACTGCAGACATCAACTGAGCAATCTTTCTACACAACAATGATGTAGAGTTTTTCTTAGTTATGCCATTATCCCATCTGATGCCTTCTGGAATGTTTACAGCACCTGCACTAAGGGAAAATACAGAAGAAATAACAGGACCCTCTAAAGCCTCACTTACATCTTTCACATCCTCTGCAGATTCCATATGGTTATATTTGTTTTTCACATTTTCTCCATTTACTACCCCTAAGCCATTTTTTGAATCATTCATAGGTGGAGAGTTATTCTGTTGTGTTTCTTCAACCGTTTCCAAGGGGTAAGACAAACTGGAATCCACTAAATGCATTTTTGAGGCTACTTTAAAGTCATTCCTATGTTCTTCTTCAACATTACTTAAAGTGGGTCGCATTTTATCAATTACAGAGGGTGGTACCCTATTATTTTCTTGAACAGCATCAAAAAAGTAATTTTCAGACACATCCTTGCCTTCAGCTGAAGAAGCTAGGCATACAGATGGTTCCAGATTATAGTTTGTATGTTTATTTTCTGCACAAGCTTTCTTTTGAAATTGTTCCAGACAATTTATTCCATCAGATACTGATACAGATGATGAAATATCATGCACATTTTCTATATTTTCTTTACAAATAATGCTTTCCTGTTGTAAATTTACTATGTTGCAATTTAGAGAAGTAGAACTAGAGAAACTTGAACATTCAGAATTCTGATATTCATTCTCTAATGCATTAAGTTCTTCATGGGCTGGTGACATACATCTGTTTATCTTTTCTCCTTGTTCTGTTTCTTTATATTCATTAGATATAAAGGAGGTTTCTCGTAGAGGAATGAGTTTAAGAATCAAATGCTGTGTACCATTAACATTTTTTAGTTCCACAATTTGTGCCAAACAATTAGGTGGAACAACAAATTTTGGTGGTGCAACCACTGTTAAAGGCATTTCAGGCATTATATTACTTTTGTGGGGAGAATACACTTCAACTTCAACTATTGCATTTACATTTTTCTGGATTTTGACATCAGATGAAATATCTGTACATGTATCCTGAGTACGCTGTAGTACGCATGTACTACGCTGACTACACTCAGTATCACATCTTGAATTAACAGCTTCACTTATATCATCCTGAATTTCAAAAGTCATTATATTTAAACCTGAAGATTTCTTCTGCAGTGGAGTTCCCTTGGCAAGTGCCTTCCGCACTGGGTTTTGGTTTAGCAAACAATTTGTTTTTTCCTCATCTTTTGCAGCTGTAAGCATTATTGGCTCATCAGCAACTGTTTCATGTGATCTTCTTGTGTGTTTGACTATATAATCATGCCTGACAGTACCATATTCACAGTAGTCACACTGGTATGGAAATCGTCCAGTATGTTTTACCATATGTCGTTGGAACTCCCCTCTCGTGTAAGACACACACTTGCACTGGGAGCAGATGAATTTAACCTCTTTGTGTTGAGCCAAATGCTTCTTATATTGTAGAGGATTCTTAGTGGAAAATCTGCATTTGTCACAATAATATTTGTTTGGCTGAAAGTTTTTTAGTTTGAACATTCTCAGAGTTTTACTCAGGGACATTTTCCCTTTGTCTTCAGGGCCAGAGCCACCTGTGGGATCAATGACAAAATTGAGAATGGATGACATACTTGGTTGGCACTTGTTACAGACAAAGTGGTCATCTTGACCTCGTTGGCATCTTTCTTTCAGTAATTCCAGCACTGAGGCCTCTTCCACACACCTGCATTTAACACAAGTTATCAAATGCAATTCCGTTTCCTCAGTCTTTTGATAACCAAAGCTACTGTTTTTATCATTGGTTCTCATTGGATTTGATTTAGCAACATTGCCTTGCTTTGGGGATATGGTCAATGAGCTATGGCCGTTGTTCACTTGGCTGGCATACAATGTTGGTAAGACTTCCCTCATTTTCTTCAGCTGCATTTCAAAAGCGGATGTCTTCACTGCTGAATTGGTGCAACATCATAGTCATACACTGTCCAAGGTAAAGGTTCTGTAAAAGAAGCATATGAAGAAAACTTATTTCTAGGTCACCATACAGAGCACTTCACATTTTAAAAGAGCTATGATCGTTCACTCCCTAACCTTTTACATGGAACTAAGTTCTATAGGTTTTAATGGAATCTTCTTCCAAATGACTGTGCTTGGAATATTGAAAAAAATTAAACTTCAACAATATACTTTGATACTGGAAATGTCAAAAAATGAAACTAAAAGCCTAAACTCGAAATATCATTTGATTAACTGTACCATCAACAAGAAAATAAAAATGAATTATGTTAGTCTATATAAAAGCAATTTTATATAAATTAAAATTCCTCAAAACAAAATATTTAGATTAGTACACTTACCAACCATTTCTTTTTACTAACTATAAAACTTACAAAGTGCCAAAATATATATCATTCAAATAAAGCTGGATGTTTTCATTTAATCAAACTACCAACCTTTTGTATGCTCCTAAAAAATCCAATTTAAACATGTATACTTGGCATTTGAGGCTGATTAAAAGTTCAATATAACATCCACTTCAGAAGAACCAGCTGATGCAGAATTCAGGGGACAAAAACCGAGAGGGATTAAATACTGGCTACACACATATAACCATAATTCCAAAATGATCTGTGAGGCTCTTTGGAATAGTGATTAGTATACTGGACTAGTATGAAAATTCATGTGTTCAACCATGAAGCTCACCTTGAGACTGTTGCTCTTTCAATCCAACTTTCCTCACTAGAGTTGTTGCAAGGATAAATATAAAGATGTTAATCATCTATGTTACTATGCAAGACAATTTTCTATGCAGTTCCCTATTTTATTTATTTGGAATTTTTGTATGCCGTCCCATTCGCATAAGCCTCGGGACGGCTTCCAACATCATAAATACACATACAAATAAATACATATAAAATCTGGATGCATCCTGGCTAAATATTTTAAAACCAATAAATAATATCAACAATTATTAAAATATCGTTCAAATAAAAAGGTCTTGGCCTGGCGCCGAAAAACAAATAACGGCGGCGCCAGGCGGACCTCTCTGGGGAGTGCATTCCATAGGCGGGGCGCCACCACAGAGAAGGCCCTCCTCCGGGTACTCACCCTCCTAATACCTTTCTCGGAGGAGGGCCTTAACAATCTTATCTTGTTGCAGCCTGAAAGCCACTGTATTGCGCCAACTAGCCTAGAGTTTTCTGTGGACTGGCTGCTTCGGTTCCCAGTTGGTGGGCAGCTTCAAAGGCAGACCAGTTGCATCCGTGCAAGGGAGGTTTTTTCCCCGTCTCTTCCATTCGCCTCTTTGAGAAATCGGGAGCGAAAACTGCGAGACTTACGCTGCGAGACTTACTTCCGTGTAAAACATGCACCAGATCAGGCCTGAAGCCTATCCCTGAAAGTAAACAACAGGCTACTATTCCATTCAACATTCAATGGAATGTTGCCGTGTGAACTCTGCAAATCCTGTGCTCATTAGTTAAAATCTGGAGGAGACCCGCTTCTCCCACAAGTAAGCAAATTTAAGAGCCCATGGGAGGGCTGCAACTCAAATCGCGTTTCATGGAAAGTACTGAAGTCGCTGCAATTTATTCTGGAATAGCATACGATTGGAATGTGCAATCCCCCCCCCCCCCCCCCGATTAATGAGCTTACCTGCCCCACTGCAGCCCAGATATCAAACCGAGAACTCTCGTGAGTGGCCTATCCTCTCCTAGAAATAAGTTTTTGGCTGTAACACTATGCCTGCTAAACTAAATTTAACAGGACTTTCATACAAGTTAGTATGTGTAAGATAGCACTATTACTCATGTAAGAGCTACAGCAAATCACTAAAAATCGAGCCTTTATTATTGAATGCCCTCTTCTACGCTTCACCATAAGAGCACACGTAATAAAAGCATTTAACACTGTAGCACCCATCTCCAAGAATGCATTCCTAAGGGACATCAGATAGGCATCTACAGTTTTGATGCTTCCTTAAGACTTCTCATCTAACATTTCCCTGACATAAGATCTAAACAGTTATGGTTATACTTTTATTCTTTATTAGTAGAGTTGCCAGTTTACTATTGTAATTTAATGTTGGTGTTATCATGTTCACTGTTTTTGGTGGAAAGTAGTTTATACACTTATGAAATAAATTATTTCTCTGTATTAGATAATTATTTGCATAATTTTAAACAGCTGAAAAGTTCACCAAGCTGCAAAATTGTAAGCACTCTAAATTCAACAGCTTTTGTTATGTCCAAGTGAGCATTTACTCTGAATTACTGTTTTTATAACTTGATTGTTGTCTGAACTTTTAAGCCTGTTTCTTTGCCTTTGTGAATAGGCAGCATATTGTTGCAAAGGATGAAAGGATAACAAGAAAAGGAAAGCAAATCCTGAGTTATGCTATTAGGACCAACTAAAATTCTGCAAATGATAGTTCAAAATTTTGAGTTCTCCAAAAATGTTCATCTGGCTAAGTAGTACAACAGAGGATCTACACCCATGAAGACTCAAAAGCTTACACAATGGTTTGGATCATTTTTGTTGGTCTAATAGAGGCTTTGCCCAAACTTGAGTTTTTGCTTAGTCCTCATGGACCAGCACAGCAACACTTATTACAGAAAACAAGATTATGCCTATTATTATGCTTAAGGGAGCTATCCTATTGCCCCTAGAGAGTATCTTAAGGGCCACAGGATATTTTGCATTTGCAGATCTGAGGCTGGACACAGCGCTCCAACCCTGGAGCTGGGAACTGGAGTTCCAACTCTGCCCCTGCCTTTCCACCTGCAGTCAGTGTAGAAAGAACTACACCAACCACTCACTGAGATTAGTAAACAGCATTAAAGATGGAGAAAAGGAAGCATTCCAGAAGGAGCAAGAGGAGGGGGCTGATAAGATCCGCAGCCTCTGACAGCCCCTTTTTCTCCTCCTCTGAAACATCCTCCATTAGATGGGCAAAAAGGTTTAACAAAAAACGAAAGAAGTTGGGGAGACAGAATTCATTTCCACTGTTCCTCATACACTGCACTGAACGATCACAACCCTACAAGGTAAGGAGCTTAATGGCCACTGGTTTAGGATGGTGCCCTTGGCTACAATGCTTGAAGTCAAAAAATGGACCTTAACACCATATCAGAGATTGACACGAAACTGCCAGGAAAAACTACCCATCTCCTTCCATGGCACAAAACTATCTTTCTAGAATGCAGGGATCAAAACCCAAAGATCCACATGTTGGCATAAACAGAACTGCAGGTTCAACCCAGCTTCTTTAAACATAGCTGAGTTCTGGAGGAGGCACTGGTACATTTCCATTTTGAGAGAGTTTAAGGCAAAACGCTAAACACTTCCTTGGAAGTTTGCTGTATCTCATTTGCTTGAGTCTTGCTTTCAAGTAAACAAATCGCCCACAGCTATAGTGTCAATTTCAAAGCCAATCGTTTCAGTTTCCCTGGCACTGCATTTTGTTTGGCAAGTCACGTCTGGGAGGCTGATGCCAGGAAGCGAGTTCCAAGTTTGCAATCCTAAACACGCTCACCTGGAAGTAAATCCAATTCTAGAGTTACTTCCAAGTTAACATATATAGGTTTCTGCTAGTGTCCTGCAGACAATGCCGCACACTGCAAGGAACAGGAGTAAAGGAACAAAGTAACAGCTTTGCTCCTAATCATTAAAAAAACGCGTCCTTAACTCTTCTCCGTGGTCTGGTTCACGGGCTCTCTTTTTCAGAAGGGACACTCTCTCATCGCGGGAAATGGCGGAGACGTCGCACTTCCAGATCCGAGCAATGCTTCGAGCGGCCGCGAGAGGGCTGCACAAACCTCTCCCTCCCTCTCCCTCCCTCCCTCTCTCTCTCTCTCTCAGCTGCTTTCGCCAGATGTTAACGCAGACGAGCGCGAGAAGGAGGCGAAATGGGCTCAGAAAATAAAGGAGCGCAAGACTGCAAGCAGGGCCGGCAAGGAGACAGTCCAGAGGGGAAGCCGGGCGACCGCCGAGGTGCGGCGCTCTTTCGCGAAGAGAGGCGGCGCGGGCAGCCGGGCAGGGCTCCGGCCTCCACGGTCGTGCCTGAGGCGCTTCGCTGCTGGCGCTCCTCCATACTCACCTCCGACACAAAGGAAGACGCCCACCCACGGAGCGCATCTACCCCTTCAGCCTTCAGCGCGGCTCCCCAGCCGAAAACGACGGCGGAACTGATCTCAGCTCCCTTCACGATCGGCTCGCCACTCGATTGGCTGCTGCTGCCGCCGCCGCCCCGCCAGAAGCGTGTGCGCCTCCTTTTACAGCTTCCCTTACCAGGGCGGGTAGGCATGCGCACGCGCGCGCGCGGAATGGGGCTCCTGTGCGTGCAGCGCGGAAGGGCCCCGGGGCGTAGGAGGCGGCCCGGATGCCTGCCATGTGCTCGGAAGGCTTCGGGCAGTGCGTCAGTTCCTTAGGAGGAAGTCTCTGAACTCCGTGGAGCTTACAGCAGAGGAGTCTACTGTCGTTAATGACTTGAATTTATGACTGCGCGGGCACAAGATGTGGAGATGGCTGTCGATTTAAAGGACTTTAAAATACGCAACTGAGACGCATTCGTGAAGGATGAGACCCTCAATGCCTTTTAATTAATGAATGCCAGCAGTAGATGGTGCTCGTTGGGTCGGGGCAGAGATTCAGTGTTGTACTGAGAGTGTTAAAGGAGGACAGAAGACAAACATACGCGGCAGTCAGTAGCTGCCTTCCGTGCAGTGAACCGAATGTGCCCGGATTTCCCTATGGGGGATTTCTCTGCCGCAAGTGGGCAAATGACAGAGGGTCAGTACTGCTTCTGTTCCCAATATAGCGCCTCCTTGCTTCAGTTTGCTGGGAAGCAACAGCAGGAAAAGACTAGCTGTTTGGCCACTGGCAGGCAAAGTACTGGACTAAGTAAGCTTCTGGTTTGATCCTGCAGGGCCCTTCTAATGTCACAACACATACACAGAATCAGGCTGGAAAGAAGAAAGACAGTGAGGAGCCCAGGACCGAAGTATGGATTCTTGGCATAGTACATAGAACGCAGTTTTGTCTAGTGCATCCTTGCTTTTCAGCACCTTTGGCACTCTCTAATGAGTCAACATTCTCTGGGTGATGCTGTAGCTTCTAAACCTCTCCTACTTTCAGCAAGATTGCATTGAAAACAGGTTAGCATCCAAATAAATGCATCTGGGACTGTGACAGATCACTCCCAAAGCTTCAGTCATGATGCAGTGAAAGAGACTGCCATATTTGCAGTGCTGTCCCATGAATGTTGACTCATTCATAGATATGAGACCCTAGTGTATTCAGTGGAACATAGTAGATATGCATAACAAGATATGTATATCTACTTATCCAGTAGATATGCATGAGAAGAACTGCAACCTTAGAGCCTTGCCAGCATGTTGACTGTAAAGTAAGACAGTGAAATGGTTTCTGGCAGTGAAATGAACAGGATTTAGAGCCCCCCCCCCCCTCAACTTTTGATGGCTAGGTAATTGTGTTTTTTAATGTGGTTTCTTTGGAAGCAAGTTAAAATTGTTACCACATATTTTTTAACTTGTTGAGAAACCCTAAATAAAATATTAAATCACAGCTCACATTTATATCTACTAATGACAATATAACAATCATTGAAACAGCTGGTGCCAGCAAAACATTGGTTATAGATCTTCCTAGATGGCTGTGATTTTAACCTATAAAAACTGTAGAAGTGGAAGTAACTCCTTCATGGATCACTGCCTTGTCATGGCAGAGGGGCTTGCGTAGCTCAATGAAGCTATGAGCTATGCCATGCAGGGCTACCCAAGACGGACAGGTCATAGCAGAGAGCTCTGACAAAATGTGATCCACTGGAGAAGGAAATGACAACCCACTCCAGTATCTTTGCCATAAAAACCCATGGACAGTACCAAAAGGCAAAAAGATATGCTGGAAGATGAGCCCCTCAGGTCGGAAGGTATCCAATATGCTACTGAGGAAGAGCAGAGGACTAGTACTAGTAGCGCCAGAAAGAATGAAGCGACTGGGTCAAAGCTGAAAGGACACTCAGTTGCAGATGTATCTGGTGGTGAAAGGAAAGTCCGATGCTGCAAAGATCTATACTCCATAGGAACCTGGAATGTAAGATCCATGAATCAAGGCAAGCTGGACGTGATCAAAAAAGAGATGACAAGACTGAACATCGACATCTTAGGAATCAGTGAACTAAAATGGACAGAAATTGATAAATTTAATTCAGATGACCATCAGGTATACTACTGCGGGCAAGAATCCCTCAGAAGAAATGGAATAGCCTTCATAGTCAATAAAAGAGTAGGAAAAGCAGTATTGGGATACAATCTCCAAAATGACAGAATGATCTCAGTTCGAAGCCAAGGCAAACCATTCAACATCACAGTAGTCCAAGTCAATGCCCCAACCACTGATGCTGAAGAGGCTGAGGTTGACCACTTCTATGAAGGCCTACAACACCTTCTAGAATTAACACCAAAAAATGATGTTCTTATCATGGGGGATTGGAATGCTAAAGTAGAAAGCCAAAAGATAACGAGAATAACAGGCAAGTTTGGCCTTGGAGTACAAATGAAGCAGGGCACAGCCTGGTAGAATTTTGTCAAGAGAATATGAGGATCATAGCAAACACTCTTTTCCAACAACTCAAGAGACATTATACAAGAGGCAGCAACTAAAACCATCCCAAAGAAAAAAATGAAAGAAAGCAAAATGGCTATCTGAGGAAGCTTTACAAATAGCTGAGGAAAGAAGGGGAGCGAAAGGCAAGAGAGAAAGAGAAAGATACACCCAATTGAATGCAGAATTCCAGAGAAGAGCTAGAAGAGATAAGAATGCCTTCTTAAATGAACAGTGCAAAGAAATAGAAGAAAACAATAGAATACGGAGGACCAGAGATTTCTTCAAGAAAATTGGAGATATGAAGGGAACATTTCATGCAAAGATGGGCATGATGAAGGACCAAAGTGGCAGGGACCTAACCAAGGCAGAAGAGATTAAGAAGAGGTGGCAAGATTACACAGAGGAACTATACAAGAAAGAGCTTAGCATCCCTGATAACCACAATGGGGTGGTCACTGACCTCAAGCCAGACATCCTGGAATGTGAGGTCAAATGGGCCTTAGGATGCCTGAGCAACAACAAAGCTAATGGAGGCAACAGTATTCCAGCTGAGCTATTCAAAATCTTAAAAGATGATGCAGTAAAAGTGCTACACTCAATATGCCAGCAAACTTGGAAAACTCAACAGTGGCCACAGGATAGGAAAAGGTCAGTTTACATTCCGATCCCAAAGAAGGGCAATGCCAAAGAATGTTCAAACTACCGCACCATTGCACTCATTTCACATGCTAGCAAAGTTATGCTCAAAATCCCACAAGCTAGGCTCCAGC